CTCTCTCTCTCTCTCTCTCTCTCTCTCTCTCTCTCTCTCTCTCTCTCTCTCTCTCTCTCTCTCTCTCTCTCTCTCTCTCTCTCTCTCTCTCTCTCTCTCTCTCCCTCTCCCCCACTCTCTCTCCCTCCCTTTCTGATCTACCCGTCTTTTCTTCCTTCGCTTCTTTCTTTTGCAAGCTCTCGCGTAACAAAATTTAAGTTTGTGCACGAAAGTTTCTATTCACGGTAGGCACGCATGCATTCACACATTCACACGCACGCACACACAGATACACGCGAGCACGCACGCACGCATGCTGCTGTACAATGCAGCTTCGTTACGGAAAAAGACGGAGACGGAGAGAGAGAGAGGGGAGGATGCTCTAGCTCCGAGAAAACATCTGTTTGGCTTCCTCGCGGTAACACGCGAGCGTTGCGGCACGCCGGCGTACAGTCAGTCAGTCGGCAGCCCTCCCTCTCTCTCTCTCTGTCTGTGTTTTCGTCGATAGAGCGTGCATTTTCCTCACTCAAAGGAGACCGTTCCGCAAATCGGGAGAGTTCGAGCTGTTGCATGCGGGCTTCCTTCGCGAAGAAGGTATTGCCGGGCATCCTCTGTGACATAGGTCTCATCAGGCTTCCTCTGTGACTTAGACCTCCTTAGGCTTCCTCTGTGACGAAGGTTTCCTCAGGCTTCCTTTGCGCATGTAGGTCTACTCAAGCTTGTGACATAGGTTTCGCCGAGCTTCTTTGTGACGTAGGTCTCCCCCTGACTGCCTTCGTGGCGTAGGTTCCCCCACCTTCCTTCACGATAAAGGTTTTCCCTGACATCCTTAACAATCAAGGTTCCACAGGCTTCCTTTGCAACAAAAGTCCCTCCCCCCCCCCAACTTCCCCTGACAGGAAAGGTTTCTCTCAGCTTTTGAACTCGAAACATCTGTTTTTTGGCAGCAAGAGATGAAAGAACCCGGCGGATGTATTATTTGGAAGAGTTAACAACGAGGGCTGTGTGTGTGTGTGTGTGTGTGTGCGTGTGCGTGTGCGTGTGCGCGTGTGCGTGTGTGTGTGCGTGCGTGCGTATGTGTGTGTGCGCGTGCGCGTGCGTGTGTGTGTGTGAGTGCGTGCGCGTGTGTGCGTGCGTGTACGTGTGTGCGTGCGTGCGTGCGTGCGTGCGTGCGTGAGGTGAAGCCACGTGTAGCAGTTAGCCGAGCTCCGGGTAGGAAAGGGTTACCCGTTATCAATGTTGTCGGATGAACACATTTGCCCGCGCGCGTTCCGTTATCAGTGTTGTTGAACGTGCGGATTTGCCCTCGGACGGCACTTGAAACAGCACGGTGGTGGATTCGGGGAATGTTGGCTTGGGGGGGGGGGCCGCCCGGCGAGCGAGTGGTACGGCAGCTGCGAGCGAGCGCGAAGATAAACCTGAACAAACAACGATGGAGTCGTCGACGTTACTGCTGCTGCTGCTGCTGCTGCTGCTGCTGCTGCTGCTGCTGCTGCTCCTGCTGCTGCTGCTGCTTGGTGCGACTGTGGTTTTTTGTTATTTGTTGCAGCTGGCACGTTGTTGCTGTTTATTGAGCAGGCACGCCATTGTTGTTGCTTGCTGTAGCTGACTGACACGTCATTGTTGTTGTTGTTTATTACAGCTGACATGTTATTGTTGTCATTGTCATTGTTTGTTGCGGCTGCCACGTTGTTGTTATTGTTTGTTTATTACATTTCACACCACGTTGTTGTTGTTTGTTACACCTGACACGTTGTTATTGTTTATTACACCTGACACGTTGTTATTGTTTATTACACCTGACACGTTGTTATTGTTTATTACACCTGACACGTTGTTATTGTTTATTACACCTGACACGTTGTTATTGTTTATTACACCTGACACGTTGTTATTGTTTATTACACCTGACACGTTGTTATTGTTTATTACACCTGACACGTTGTTATTGTTTATTACAGCTGACGGTGATCGTGAAAATGCACGCCGTCTGCGCCGCGGAGAAGACGTACCACGCGCAGGCCGACGCGCTGCCGCCCGCCTTCGTCGACGGCTCCTCCGCGAGCGGACCCGACGGCGCCCTCTACATCGAGGAGGTGGTCGCCGGGCGACACATCGTCATCCACGCCCGTTTCATCGGCGCGACGGTCGTGATTCGCCGCGTCGCCGGGGCCGCGCTGACGCTCGCCGCGCGCATGCCGCGCGAGCTCGTGCGCACGTGGGGAGCGGCCGGCCTCGAACTCTGCGTGAAGGGATGCCCCGCGGGAGAGACGATCGACTACCGCTCCTTCCTCGGCCGCGGCGGAGGCGGAGGAGCGGTCGCCATGGCGACGGAGGAGGCGGCGGCGCGCTGCCGGGAGGGGAACGTGACGGATTTTTACTTTGACTCGTGCGTGTTCGACCTCGCGACGACGGGCGAGCCGGCATTCCGCGAGGCGGCGCACGCGGCGCAGCGGGACGCCGCCGCGCTGGCGCCCCCCGGCGCGGCGTCACGGCGCGAGAACCGAACACACCTGCTCGCTCGCGCGGCGGGAACGACGCGACGGACGCCGCCCCCGACGACGCTGATCGCCGCCGCGGTGGCGCTGCTGTTGCTGCTGCGGCGGTGATAGGGGGCGCTGTTCTCCCTCCGGATTCGTCGCAGATGTTATTAATATATATGGCGCGCGCGCGAGCGGTCGTCGGGGTGACGGCGCGGGGTGACGGGCCTGGCACGTCACGAGAGCTTTTTGTAAATATGTATTTTTATTGGTGATGTGCCACGCTTGCTTGCTTGTGCGCGCGTGGCGTGGGGGGGGGGGGCGCTGCTGCGCGCTGCTTGTAAAGAAATATATCGTAGTCATAATACGTGGCAAAATACCCGCGTGCGTGCGCGCACCCTGAGAAATGTAAATACCGATACGAAAACGGAGACGCGTTATCACTGTTATGATTATCTGCCTTCTTTCCTGCCTCCCTCTCTCTCTTCCCCCTCCCTCCCTCCTCCTTCCCCCCTCCCTCCCTTTACCATCCCCCACAGTGTGTGAATAACTTCCACAGCTTCTGTTTGGTACCATTGCTGTTTGTTGTTGTTGTTGTTGTTGTTGTTGTTGTTGTTGTCTGTGCTGTTACGGTGTCGCCTCCCCGGGTCGGCTTTACGAGTGGCGCTTGCAGCGCCATCGTGTGGCGGCCGCGCGAATCGAATCCTCGTTTTTTCTATGGTTGTCGTTAACATTTGCGTGCATTCGGTGCACGAGAGAGAAAGAATGCTTGACGAATTTTTGCACTGGATGTTTTATTGTACGTGCGTGTGTGGATATAGTCTGAGTATCTTGTTACGTGTGACATACGTTGGGTACCTGGAAAATGATGAGGGCCCCTGAGGAGTTACTAGTAAATGGAATTCTGTGTACGTGCGCTTGCTTCATTTCGATTCGTTCCCACCGTGTTTTTATTCTAAGGCAAGAAGGCTAAGTCTAAAGCAAGAATCGTCGGGAAGCTACTATCGTAACCTGTTACATTGAAGCGTTTCGTGTCCGTTTCTGGTTTTCCCTCTACCTGTGCTGTGTGCATCCGTGAGTGAGTGAAGCCATGGCTGCAAACCGTGTGTGGGGTCCGTTTCATGTTTTACTGCTACCCATGTCGTATACGTGAGTGAGTTGTGACGTGAAGTCGTCATCGTTAGTCGTCGTACTGGCTCGCAATTCTTCTCATCTCGCCTACCTTGCCGCTCCTATGTCTATCTATGTCTACCTGCGTCTACCTATGTTTACCTGTGTTTACCTAT